GTCACTGCCTACGGCAACTCCCCCCCCCCAAAACATGAAGCTCGGCTGCAGGAAAGGTTCACGAGCTTAAGAGCGCATCAGTTTCTCTATCTGTTGGTTGCAGGTTGCATCTCTGTGCTCATTAGTGAGGCTTAAGCAAATTCCTGTTGGTCCCTTCCAGACCACACTGACAGGAGTCAGACTTTTTCCTGAGAAACCTTCGGGTGGAGCTTGAGATTTGATACAAATTTAAAGAAGCTCTCCACAAAGAGTAATTGGATCTTGATAGCACAACTCTGGAATGATTGATTGTTTTTCAGAGGAACCCTAAAGGGTCTTTGTGCTGCTTATTAGACCCCTTTGATTCTCACAAGAACCCACTGTGCTTTCAGAGTGCAAGCAGGCAGAAAATGTCAACAATACACTCAGCACTAAATGTTAATGAGTGGTCTGTTTGTGCATTCCCTCTCCCAGGAAACCTGTTGACTAGAACTGCAACCACATGGGCTTTACAGCTTTTTGCCCTGTCCAGCTGCCAATTACCCAGCATTCCCCACAATAATTACCGGCTCTGAATGTGGATCAATCTTGTCTTCTCATTGGCCACAACCAGGCCATGCTTCGTCTTACTGGCAGGCCACACATACACAAACACAAACCCACACATTTGAAAAGACAAACAGGCCTTTATGTTTGTTTTTTTTTCCAAGAGCTGACGCCCTGCCTGGTCCTCTCCAGCGGCCCAGAGACACAACAGACACCAGTCAGGTCCTCAGATCAGTCACCTGGTTTCTTTGCAGTCTGTTTTAATCTTCCTTTAGCGTTTCATGTCATGCTGAAACACACACCTGCTCTGGTCTCATTTTTGATTGATTATTATTCTCTTTTTATTTTACCCTCTCCTTTATTTGAACACTAAAACACACAGTGGCAAAGCAGCTTCACATGAAAAACAAAAAACGTGATCTGACCTGACTGGCTCAGGGAGGCTCTAACACTTCTCAGTGAGGCTTTTTCCTGTTAACTCCCTGGTAAACAATTGTCAGGAGAAGTTGTTGTTATATATTGTTATGCTCATGTGTACTTGCAGCAGTCTTCTTCTTCCCCCTGATTATTTTTTTTTCATGATGCCACCATTGCTAGCTGTGGATCAGTAAAATAGCACGAACCTGGTGACAAAAATGTGAATTCTACACACAAGTGTTCGTGGGTATGCACAATACACACAAAACAGGGGAGACAAACTACTAAGAGTGTGCTGTCGCTCTAGTAGTGTTTAAAACTCCCCCAGATTTTACAGTTTACTACCTGAAGTTTCCTTCCTTCCTTCCTACATGGTGCATATGGTTTTTGTTGCTTGAATGGAAGATTTTCTTATACTATAGGTTGTTTGTAATGTCTGTATGACTGTTTCTTCACCTTTTTAGGGTTAGTTGATTGTACAATGACAGCTGGGAACCCATCATGGTTCCCTAACAGTAGCATTTTTCTTGAGTTATGCAATGACAGCTGGGAACCCATCACGGTTCCCTAACAGTAGCATTTTTCTTGATAGACCATTTTGACGTCCTGTGGATTTCTTCCTTTTTGTCAGTGTATGAGGGTTTGTTAGCTTTTTGTTTGTTTCATGTTTTTGTACCCACAGCAGTTTTTCTCAGAGCACAGAACAGCTGTGTGTTGCTCCGTCTTATGTTTCTGAAAACATTTCCATGCAGGGGAAGCGTGTGTAGCCTGCTGTTGCTGTGTTGTCAGGAAAGGCAAACACATCCTTCCACTCTCCTGTTTCTCAGCTTGAAGAGACGGGACCTCAAAGTCCCTTTGTCTTATCAGGCCCTACTTTTACTGCCGTTGCTATGGTGATATCCACCTGTCAGCTGAGGCAGCGCTTCATCATCCTGACAATCTGATTGGTTGACAGCATCCTGACAGGTTTGGCTAAGTGGTCAATGTGCACTGAAAAGCTCAGCAGGCAGCTCTGGTTGGGTGACGAGCAGCTGATTCAGGAACTGCTGTGACTGATGAAGCAGCTACAGGTTTCCAGTGACAGCTGCAATTATGCATTTTGGCAAAGTGGCTGACTCACTGGTCGTCCTTTTACATTTAAAGTCTGCCTTTTCATATAAATACATTTTGCCATTCTGTGATTCTCTTCTGTCATCTTCACTCTGATCCTCCTCTGTCACATTGTTTGGCTGAGCACCACATTCACTATGTGTTTAGCTGGTAGTCACCACCCATGTTTAGTTTACTTTGTCCACTGACGGTATAAAAGACACTCATTATCAACCTGTTTACACTTCCACATTAAAGTTCTTTATTCATGAACGAGAAACCAGATCAGGTCTTTAGTTTTGTGTCTTGCCCAATAACAAAGATGTTGTGCCCAAGGCTGCATTAAACTCCTGTTAGCCTGGGGCAGGAATGACTTTTGTAATTTGTTGCATAGAGGAGGAGGGAATATATTTAAGAATGTTCATGTTATTTGACACAGGAAAAGTCCTTTAAGAACCTGTGGCACATCTTTCATATTCCTATAGCAAAACAAAATGACCACACAGACCTTTAGAAAAACTGAAATACTGTACATGAAAGTGGTTGTCTAGTATTTTATGTGGGAAAAAATTTCCATAGCATTTTATAGATATGAAAATATTCTGATTGAAACGATGTTACTGTTCAGTATTCAAGTCTGGAGAACATTCCAGTTAATATGTTACGTGTATAGTTCCACAGGTCTGGTGAACATTCCAGTTAATATGTTACGTGTACAGACAAACACGTCAGATCACCAGAGGTCCTAATCCTGTCTCTAGCGCACATCATCTCAAACACACATTGCAGGAGGATAAGAGCTGTCTAGTATGCCGCAGATAAATCTTCACAGGGCGTATATGATAAATTTTTCTTTTTTCCTCTTTCAGCAAATCCAAAGAATTCTCCTTCAATGCAGGTGAGAATCCACTGATGCTTTGTATTTGTGTGTGTGTGTGTGTGTGTGTGTGTGTGTGTGTGTGTAAGTCTGTGTCTAGTTTAACACTGCATTAATTATATGGCTCACCCTCCAATTACTGCCACACTTGAGTTTGCTGTAAAGAGGATGTGCAGGTTCTGATGTATAAAACTCAATTAGCCTTGAGGAGTCCTTGAAATACTCAAGGATTTTATTGCAATAATTTTGAACCATTAAAAAGTTCTCATTAGAAACACTGAAAGCCTGTTGGAGTTACACATGGCTGTAAATACAAAATATCTCTCTTTAATAGAAGCACTGACTTCAGAAGCTGAACATGCAGTAAAGAATGATCTGTTGGACTGGCTTCAGAAGGAGGAACTAAAGAACCTGTGGCTGTGTTTATATATTCTAAAGGATCCACAGTGATTTTTTTGTTTATCCATTGTCTGATCATTACAACTAAAGTCTTCTTCCTTTCTGCTTGTAGAGTAACATCAGAAAAAAAACAACTTTTTACTTTAGAACTGTGCAGGATTAGATAAAAGATGATGGAAGTCAGGTCTCTGCATGTGTGTCTGTGCTTAAATGAAGAATAATGAATTTCCACAACCTTCAGTTTAAGCAGGTGTAAATGTAAATGTGTACTCGTCCCTGAGGCTTGACCTTTGTGTCTTTGTACCTTTCTTTCCATTTAACCTTCCATCTCTTTTTATTTCATCTTTCTTTCCTTCCAGAGGACGGTTACGTGAGGATGTTCCTCCGAGGTCGCCCTGTCGCCATGCATGTGCCCGACCAGCAGAGGGAGACGTACAGCATCGACCGCAGGGTGGAGCTGCCTGAGCGCAAGCTCAAACTGCAGTGGGTGTATCCTTCAAACTGGGAGAGGGAAGTAGATGGACAAACTGTTTCTCTGATGGATCAAGACTGAGCAGACAAATGCACAGTTGCCAAACTTCACTGATTAAAATAGTTTATGGCAGTAAATTTTACGAGTCATACAAGCTTTAATTTTTGTATTTTTCCATCATGTACATATACGATCTCCTGAATTATTTTATAACCTTTATATTCTGAGAGATGCAGCTTGATTTTTAATTTGTTGATAATTTAGTAGTTGACGAAAGCAGAATAAGCTTCAGTCCTGTTGAATCACTTTGGTTAAAGAGCATTAAATATTAATGAGAAAATAAAATCTCTCTGGTCCACCTTCATGCATCTGCTTCCCTAACTTAAGCGTGAACTAGATATGGCTATCGTGGCCGTGACTGTCGCTCCAACCTCTACCTGCTGCCCACAGGGGAGATCGTCTACTTTGTTGCCTCTGTGGTGGTGCTGTACAACACTGAGGAGCAGCAGCAGAGACACTATCTGGGCCACAATGACGATGTCAAATGGTGAGCAAATAGCAGGCTGACACAAGCTGATCCAGGGTTAGAGGTTAGGGGGTAGGGGTTATCTCAGACCTTTAACTCTCAGGTATTGTGTGTGCTGTACACATGTAAAGTAATACTGTTTAGTCACAGTGACACTTGATCTCTTGTGATAGCGCTTTTCTGTGTGTGCTGTACACATGTAAAATAATACATACTGTGGGATGTGGAAGCATCTGTTTAGTCACACACTTGATCTCTTGTGATAGCGCTTTTCAACAAGACACTGATTCTGTAAATCATTTTATGATTTCACACTCAACACTTCTATTATTCAGACTTGAAGCTCAGATATTTCACAGCTGGCTGCTTCATTAGCTCCAAAGACAAAAGAAAAGTTTCAAACTGCTCAGACTCTCTTTCATGTTTTCATGTGACATGTCACTGACCGTTTCGTTCATGTGATTTTGGTTTACTTAATGAGTGCTAGCGGGCATCCAGAATGAGCTCTGTGGCTGGATGTCAACTCTGGGATGTAAACAAATTGAAATCCCCCAGGGCATGCTGGGAAAGCTACTTATCTCTACAGCAAAACAACTGTGGTCTCTTCTCCCACGCTGTCATATTGAGTCCTCATCTTCTTGCTCGTCATGCTTCCTTGTTTATGGAAGTTACAGGGCAATGAAACGGCAGCAAATGATATCAAATCCTGAAAATGTCTCTGTCTTGTGCTGACATTTAGGGTTTCCATTATAAAACATGATGTGTTTACTTTCATTGCATTAGAATCTGAATTTGCTGTTTGTCTACCTTTTTTTTTTTCTTAAAGGCAAAAGCAGATCAAAAAAGAAAATGAAGCAATAATTTATCTTTTTTCCTTTCAGCCTGAGTGTTCATCCAGATATGGTTACTATAGCAACGGGGCAAGTGGCTGGAAACGCTAAAGATGGAAAGGTGCAGTGAAAACCACACTTACTGAGTTTTTACTCGAAGCTAATTATTGCCATTTTACCTTAAATGATTTGGAAATATATTTAAATCCTTATGGATATAACTACTAAGAAAAATACTGATAGCAAATGTTTTTTGCAGCGTTTTATATGATGTAATTTCCTATTTAAAGTACTTTGGCATGAATTGTGATCATGCAAAAGAAAAACATTTGAGTTTTTCTGTTATCTATTCACATTTTCTACATTTTATGAAATGATTTTGTGTAACATTGTTTCCTTGTCTGATTTCATCTGCGTAACATTTCTGTGCAGATGCTGCATCCTCATGTTCGTGTCTGGGACTCTGTGAGCCTCAACACGCTCCACGTGCTCGGTATGGGAGTGTTCGACAAGGCGGTCACCTGTGTGGCTTTCTCCAAGTCGGTAAGCTTCATATCCTTTTCACTGTGCAAAGTTCAGTCAGGTGCTGATGTACAAAAGAATGCAAAACACATGTTAACTGTCTTTTTGCTTTATCAAGATGTAACTCCTTATTTTTCTCCCAGAATGGCGGTGCCTTCCTCTGCGCTGTGGATGATGCCACTGATCATATCCTGTCGGTCTGGAACTGGCAGAAGGAGAAACAGCTGGCTAATGTCAAGGTGTCCTGACCCTTGAACTTTGCTCACATGACCCTGACCCCATTTATACTTCTGAATTGTTACTGATACTGTCGCCTGTCTATACAGTGCTCCAATGACTCCGTATTGACTGCCATCTTTCATCCCATGGATGCCAACTTGATTGTCACCTGTGGAAAATCTCACATCAACTTCTGGACCATTGAGGGAAACACTCTCACCAAGAAGCAGGGCGTGTTTGAGGTAGGCCTGGATAGCAGCTGCTCTGTGCTCCAAAAGTATAATGTCCTACCCCTCCAACTCAGGTTAAGCCACACTGTGGTGGAAAATACACTTAGCTGCTATTTAATTAGGCATAGTGAGCTAAAATGGCTCATAGTAAATCCTAGTTTCTATTTCTCTTTGCCTCTCTAGAAACACGAGAAACCAAAGTATGTGCTGTGTGTGGCGTTTGCTGAGAATGGAGACGCCATCACAGGAGACTCCAGTGGTAACATCTACGTCTGGGCCAAAGGTAAACGAATCACACAGATCCCAACCTGTTGTTCAGCTTATTTAGAGATGAAATCTCCTAACACTAAAAACCAGGCTGTTGACTGAAGTATCATGGGAAATGTTAACACAAAAGGACATGATTAAAGTTCAGAAAAGCAACCTGTAAAGATACAAGACCAGTAAAGAGAAGTTTTGTTTCATTTCAGCATAACTTTAACACTTGATTGGAAATATGTTCGCTGGCTTCATCATCAAGTGATGCTAATGTATGTTTTTCATTAGTTTTACCTGCCCATGGAAAACCCTGAAAATAAAATGAATCCATCCAAGTTTGTTCTGATCACCTATGCACTCTGATTGACAGGTGGTAATCGCATCAGTCAGGTGGTGTCAGGGGCCCATGAGGGTGGGATTTTCTCTGTGTGTGTCCTGAAGGACGGCACCATGGTGTCTGGAGGAGGGAAGGACCGCAAGGTGGTGCTGTGGGACCATGACTACAGAAAGAAGGCAGAGATGGTGGTGAGAATGCTGAACTATGCTGTGTACATAAGACACAATGACAAAGGTGTTTTTCTTTGACATTTTCAAGTCAAAGTGCCACACATGCTCAAATTAGAGTTCAAGTCAGACCCACCTTCTCTCTGATGTAGGTTAAATTATTACTTGGAATTATGCCATGGATCCCTGGAGGGTCCCTTAGAGATCTAAATAAGCATAAAAAAGCTGAAGGTTGGTGCTGTAGTGCAAGTGAATAGTTCCTGATGTGATTGTCAGTAACAGATTTACAGTTGCACTAGTGAAGTGTATACTGTTGTACTTGAACTCATATATATAAGGCATGCAGTACAGTAAACACCATTCACTTTATTTGACCTTAAATGAAATGTTGCTTTATGCCGGGTAGGACAGCATCATTGCACAGCAACAATACAGTTTCAGTTATTATGAGTGAAGACACAGTATGTTTATTTCTGACGCACACAGTACTTAAATCTATTCTAATCTGTATTTATAGCTACAGCTGAGATGGTAAGACAACACACTGGACCTTTAAAGCACTGCACTGTAACACACAATGCCAACTTCTTTCCTCATTATAATTATGTTTTGTGAGTATAAATGATTTTGCAGTCCTGCCCTACTTTCTTCATTTATAAAGTGTGTAAAACATGTGAACTTTCCTTGATCCTGTGCTGTTTGTGTAGGTGGATGAGTCATTTGGTCCTGTTCGGGCTCTGGCTGAAGGAAAAGCAGGAGAGCTCTTTGTTGGAACCACCAAGAACTCCGTCATCCGAGCTGCCTTCCCCGATACGTTGACTCCTATTGTACAGGTGCACACTCGCACTTACACACTCAAGATTGTGTGCTCTTCTTGAGAATTTGTCAGTCATGCGTTTTCATGGATAATTTTGTTTATGGTGGAAGGTGCTGACAGACATTTTAAGGTAGTCTCGGGTATACTGACAAAGACGTGTGGTGTGTTGCAGGGTCACACAGATGAGCTGTGGGGTCTAGACGTTCATCCCTCCATGGAGCAGTTTGTCACCTGCTCCCAGGACAAACAGGTTCATCTCTGGGACACAAACTCCCATCAGCCCCTGTGGACCAAGACCATCGAGGTGACTGGTTGTACATTTTTGTGAAGAAATAGACAGCAGTGGAATTTAACAATACAGAGAAGTCACACTAATCATCAAGCAACATATAGCGGCTTTTACATATGATTCATAAACTTAATAAACTAACTATTCTCCCTCCTCTTTTGCTCCAGGATCCAGGGAGGTCTGCAGGTTTCCATCCCAGTGGGACTGTTGTGGCTGTGGGGACCATGACTGGAAGGTCAGCCTCTCATCTGTCTGAAACATGTTCTCCCTGCAGCTACAGTTCAGATACTAAAGTCAAATACAGCATTGACAACTAATTACATTACGTTACACTAGACAAAACCAGCTACTTAGAGACATCCTCTTCTGTGAACTTGTGATGAGCATTTTCCCTCAGTTTCTGTTGCGTGTGTGTTTCAGGTGGCTAGTGCTGGACACTGACACTCGGGATCTTGTTTCTATGCACACAGATGGCAATGAGATCATTTCCAATGTCAGGTACTCTCCAGGTAAAACATCACCTGTTCACATCACTGACCCAGATGCATAAAATTAAAACACTCAACACGCTGACACATGCTTCAGTACTGTATCATCTCTGCCAGTGGCACTGTTAACTCTGGGCTCCTTGTGCTTTCAGACGGTAACTTCCTGGCTGTGGCTTCCCATGACAACTTTGTTTACATTTATGCCGTGACGGAGAACGGCCGAAAGTACAGTCGTGTGGGAAAATGCACTGTAAGTATATGTGTTTAAAATAACCACCTTTCTCACAACTCATATTCCAGTTGTCTGAATACTTTAAAAAAAAAAAGAACATTTAAAGATCTTATCTACAACTCCATAACTAAAATGGAATGAATAGCTTTATTGTTACTGTTTGTTTATTGTTAAAATTAATTGGCATTTTCACTTGAAGTGTGAAATACAAGTTTCCTCCAAAGTTAGATGAAGAAAACCTGACCTCTCTTCCAACATTCACAGTTACAACAAAACCACATCAACTGAGAAATTTTAGTCACATTGTTTTAGTGTTTCGAGTGAAACGCTCGTGCTCTGTGTGGTCTCCTCCTTCCCCAGGGCCACTCCAGCTTCGTCACCCACCTGGACTGGTCAACAGACAGCCAGTACCTCATCACCAACTCAGGAGACTATGAGATCCTATTCTGTAGGTCCTCTTGTCTCTGTTCACATATACCTGTAGCTTACCTTTCATTTTGTTGACTTGTTGCACATTGAAAGAGTTTTTATTTGCTTTTTTTTTTTAGGGGAGGCACCCAGTGGTAAACATGTGACCAACATGGAAACAGTGCGCAACCTGGAGTGGGCCACCTCCACCTGTACTCTGGGGTTCAACACCTTTGGTAGGTCGATAAAACTTAGCATTTTTAAGACATTTATGCTTTGATCGTCTACAGCCTGTGAGCACAGCTAAGATTAACGACCTGACTTCTTCCAATTTGTCAAGGAGCAAATGATCACACTTGTATAGTTTTATTAACTGTGCATTAGGGTTAATTGGCTCATGCTCCGAGCTGGTAGAGGTGAGAGCAGAAGGCTAAAAAAAAAAAGCATAAAGCTGTGCAAGCAGATGTGCACATTGACAGTTCCGTATTGCAACATGAACTCTTAATCCAGATATATCTCTGTATGGAGCCTCCACTCACAGCTGTTTGCCTTGTCAGTCCCGCCGGTGGACAAGTGTCCAGACTGACATTTGATCAAACCACTGCACAGCATTTTTCCTGCAGCCTGACAGAACACGAAGTGAATCTTCATGTCATATTTGTCTTTCTCACTCTTTGAATGACTCTGAATCTGTTACTCTCAGGGATTTGGCCAGACGGAGCAGATGGCACGGACATCAATGCTGTGTGCAGGTCACATGACGGATCCCTGCTGGCCTCTGCTGATGACTTTGGCAAAGTGCACTTGTACTCCTTCCCCTGCTCTCAACCAAGGGTCAGTATGTTCACTCAGTTACACACTGTTAGCACATTAGCATCTGTGTCTGTACATTTCTGTGCCAAGCATTTTTGTATTGACGTGTTTATAAAGTGAAACTATCTGACAGTTCATCTCTCAGCTGTTATTATAATTCTCTTTTCTACACCAATGTCGACCTTTTACATATCCAGAGCAGCCATGTTCTGCATCTCTGCCCACATTGTGATTAAATGCTAATCAACACTAAAACACATTGAAAGCTCAGCAGAAATAACAAAACACTCAGCCAAAAGGCTAGAAGATCACCACAAGTCCTACAGTGCACATAGTTTCTACTAGGTGTTTATTGTGTGCTCTCAAACACATTTAGGCTGTTCGAGTTTTCAGCCAAAGCCGTTTAAACTAGAGTTGTAAACCTAATTGACTGTTCAGACAAGCTACGGCCATTAACCCAGAAACTGCACATATTGTAGTTGCTGTACATGCTCACATTCTTTTAAACTCACACACATACAACAGTTTTTCTGTAAAAGCTGGTACTGATGCAAAAATTGACATTTGAAATTCTGTCACTGATATAGAGAGATGTTACTCTTTGGCTAAACTGTTCAGAGGTCCCCAGTGTACAGGATGCAGTCTGTGACAGCTGAACCTCTTGTTAATTTCACCATGAGCTTCTTTACTGTAATATACCCTGCTCACATTTACAGGCTCCAAGCCACGAATATGGTGGCCACAGCAGTCATGTGACCAGTGTTGCCTTCCTACATGACGACAGTCACCTGATCTCCGCTGGGGGGAAAGATACCAGCATCCTGCAATGGGTGCTTGCCTAGGCAACGCTATCCATCCGCATCTCTAATCCCTACAGACAGGGACCAGCATCCTCTCTAACCTGTCACCTCTTCACAGTTTTATTCCCCTGCCACCAGGGGGCAGCACCTCCTCTGTGCCTAATGGAAAACACACACAACCTGACCAACTCAAAGATGTCACATCAGCTGAGATGAGTATCATTGTAATAAATGAAATGCATATTTAATGTCCTGCTTTTTGTAATAGAGTGTAGAGAAAATTACATCAATAGCATGAAGGGATCCTAACTGCTCCCAAAAAGTCAACTTCTGCAACACCAGCCTAGCTGGATGCCACTGGTGGTGACACAGCCAGTCGGTGATGTTGGCATTAGTACTGTGACTGAACTGTATTTATCTTAACCCCCATTAAAGGAAATCCCACCTACAAATCATATATTCTTTACAGTTTTGTTGGCCATTTTGACTGCATGCTAAACAGTTAGGTGTTAGGTTTAGGTTATATGTTCATTCATATGTTGGGGTTTATTATTAAGATATGTTTCCAACTATAACAAACAGCTTTTGGCTTCAATTCCACAAAGTGCAATATGCAGCACAGACTTTTCAAATCAGTCTGCACTAGAACAGCATCACCTCCCAGTGATAATGTAAGACTGAGAGAAAAGAATGCAGAATTAATTGTTTATGGAATTGTCCGGATTATACCAAATGCATGAAAGCCAGTGGCTTTTGGAAAATGAAGAAAAATCCATCATGATATCTATAAAACAGCAGCTTTGGTTTGCATTGTGTGCTGTGATGTAAAGTGTACATGATTTGAAACAACAATCAAAATGTGAGATCACATGACCCTTTAAGAATTACTTAATTAATAATTATTACTTAAGTAATAATTTCTTATGAACATGCACAGCTTTTTCCTGAAGCAAGAAATTACAGAGACAAAGCTGCACAGGGATGTAGTAAAACGGAATGTAACCTGGTCAGTCAGTGTTCCTGTTCCTTAACTCTTAGCTTTAAGAGAGAGTGATGCATGTTTGGAAGAATTTTCTGACCTTTCCTGGGGAAAAATAAGATTGAATTAATAGTATTCTCTTTAATATCCCTACTGTAACCCCATTGCCTCCTTATCTTCCACATTTCAATCCATCTGCCTGATTTCCAAACTCCTAGGGTGCAGACTGAGAATGACTGCTGCTGGAGATTGTAAACGGTACAATGAGGTTGTTTAGTCCTGAGCCTCTCATTTCACCTCCATCCCCCTCCCAGCTGCTGTGTTTGTGATTGTACTACTACTGTAACTGTGCTGCGATGGCACTAGGTGGCGCTACAGTGCAAGATAATGAGCATGACTGAAGCTGTCCTGTAGAAGCTGCTAATGTTGCAAAGGTCTTTAGAGTAAATATATATTATGCAGTATATCCGAGTGGCTGTGTTATTCTAATACTTAATTGTAACTGATTGATGTTATTTTTCCTGTGGCACTTCTAGTGATTGACAGAAGGGTAATGTAGGCTGCTGTGCTGTAGAAGTGAGCTTGAGCTGTGCTTTGCCTCCTTCTGTCTTGGTAATAAAGTTTTTACTCAAGTACCACTGAGTCAAAGCTCTTTTCTCCCTGTGAATTGGCTAGAAAACCACAAAAGAGGGAACCTGATCTCAGCTGATGCTGGTAAAGTAAAAGTACACACATGGTCTGGCCAAAGTTTATATCCAGGTGATAGAAGGTAATCTGGAGTGAGTCGATAATAAACAAGAATTTTTTCTTATCTCCCTCGACAACATCCTTTCAGGAAGAATGTGTTGCGATATGACGCTTCCGGTTTCCGTAAATAAGCAACCTTACATAGTCAACTGGACTTGTTAATAAGGGTTAAAGCAAAAGATTACATTGTGTTGTTGTCATCAAACCGTTGTGTGATGTCGTCAGGTGATTTCACTCAGGGCCTTTTTCACTGCTGTATTCACGGTGGGCTTTCTGTGTTCATGAGAAACTCCTTTATGCTGGTGCTGGATCATGTGGGCACAAACCATGAGCAACCTTTAAATGCACATGCTGTACTCCTACTCACTAACTGTAGAAGTGGCTGACACATCATATTGCAGCAGCCCATAGACCAGAATGCATTGTAACATGTTGCATTTAGAGTTCAAACATCATCATCCATCCATTCATTATCTATACCACTTGGTCCCAAATGGGGTCACGGAGGGGGCTGGAGCCAATCTCAGCTGACATTGGGCGAGAGGCGGGGTGGAGGAAGCTGGAGCACCTGGAGAGAACCCACACAGGCACAGGGAGAACATGCAGACTCCACACAGAAAAGGTCGTGAACCCAGAACCTTCTCAAAAATAATAATAAAAAAATATTTTAATAATTTAATTTTTATCACTCAGCAGACCTAGGGCTGCTGTCAGGGTATGTGTAACAGGCATTCTGGGAAATGTATGCTGACTCATGGAGTAGATAAGTAAGATTATAGTTATTTGAAACACAAATCGCAGACAGTGAATGGATGATATAGAGATATACAGCTGACATGATGGTACATTGTTTGTGTTTTGTCTTTGAAGTGAGGAGAAGATGAGGGCAAAGCCAAAGAGGAAGACTTCCATGTTTATCCAGTGAACAGCAGGCACAGCAGGGACAGGTCACACTGGTGTTATTGTCACAGTAGCCTGTTGTCTGCCAACACCTTAGGTGCAAATGAGGAGCTGGAGGAGGAGGAGGACGTACCAATGAACTAAAGCAAAAGAATTTCGAGGAAAGTCAGGAGGTTTGTGAAACGACTGATCGGGTTTTTTGTCATGATTTCACGAGTGCGTTTCAAAACAAACCACAGAAAATATGTACAATGTCACAGTCTTTATGTTCATGTCAGCTAATGCAGATCCATTTTCTCCAAGCAAATTTTAGTAAATGCACAAAAAGTCAATAAAAGATGCAAGTACACACAAACAGATAACCAGAATTTCTTCTTGAGGTGAAAGCTTATACATGATTTGAAAATGTTTCATCATGTGCAAAAACTGACAAGTATCACTGGGGAAAAAAGCCAGTATGAAAATAAAAAACACTAATAAAATAAAATCAAGACTATTAAACCTTCAAATAACTATTGCACACTGGCAATTAATTTTACATTTGGTCAAGTTTTTCAGGTATAAACTTTTGTTTCCTTCTGTATTTTGAGCCTTTTATGAGATTTACACAAAAGACACAAATATATCCTATACAGTGCAAAGCAAGACTGCAATACACACCTAAACTTTAAAGCAACAAACACCAATCTTTAGCATTAACACAGAGGACATGGAGCAGGAGGGTCCCTGAGGAGACACTACTCTTTTTCAAAAGAAGGTAACTATTGCTTTTTAATTTGAGAGATGATTATAATTTGTCTTAAATCCGTGCACAGTACAGGGGGTAACATGGAGTTACTGTATAATTCCTTAGCCACTGACTGTTGATCGGTGGACCGCACCCCACTCTCTACTTTCTGCTTCACCTTCAAATGGCTGTGCATGTTGATGTATGATATGCTAACTTAATCTGGCAGAGTTTGCACTGCACCTCATTTTAGATTATTTTCTTGAAGAGGTTCCACACAGAACTTGATGTCTGTAGTCTCTGCACGTTTCTGCTGTTTGCATTTGACACTGTAGTAAAATGATATACTGACCTCATTACCACGTTACTTCCAGGTGCTAGTAAAAGCAAGGGAAAAGAGCGGGTCTTCGTTTTTAAAAACAAAACCACAGTCCCATGAAATATTCCAATTTTTTATTTAATGACCTTGAATATTTGAAAATCATTACCCAGCCCTACTAACAGGTGTTCAGATTGGGATCACCAAGGGTCACCTGTCCTCCCTGGAAAGGAGCTGACATTTACATGTAAGCAGTAGAATTTGGTGGAGTGTCAAAAGTTTATGATGACAGAGGACGGCTGCACTTTACTTGCAAAAAACAGAAAGACAGGTACTGCAAACAACATTTTTCTGCAGGAGCACTCTTAGGGAAATAGGAGAGCTGGTGGGAACAGGCTTTGAGGAGTGAGCATCTCAGCAGTGCTTCTCAACATCTTTTTCTATAAGAGGTCATCCTAATATTTTTAGACCACATCAAATCCAGATGGGTCAGGATTAGAACAGCATGTTAGAGCAGCTGCTTGAGTTACGGCTCAAGGAAATATTTGTCTTTTCACTGCATTTTTTTCTTCTTTAGCTGCCCCTCTCTCTGTTTATATTGAAACTGCAGGCTACTTCTTAACCTCATCTCACTGACCTCGCCTGACACCTGAGGAGCTGTACTTTCTGCAGGTGTGGCTGTAGCTGCAGGTGAGATTGCAGGTGTAGGTGTCTTCCTCCACAGCACTGCAGATCAGTTCTGTGTAATGTTGGCTGTGTATATTGGAAGCTTCTTTCTATATGTTCTAATTTGATCCCATGCTGCCAGATGTCTCTGCCTGATAAGTATGATCAGTGTTAGGTGTGTTCCTCTTTTAAAGGTCAGAATGAGGAACAAGATTTTGTATCAACAGAAGTGATACCATTTAATGCTAATGATATACAGTTCCCGTTTGTATTAATAACACAGTGTGTTATTTCAAAACCACAACTTAAAACTAATATTTGCAGTTTCATTTATTTTTGGCAGAAAGGAGTGGGCTCCTGAGAGACAAGCAGTGGCTCTAAACCAGTCCTATGAACAGAGCCAGAGCCATTCACACAGGGATTTACATAGAACTGTGGCATTCAGTTTTCTTGTACTTCCAATTTGCTTTTAGGTGCAATGCTCCAGACCTTTTGTTCCAGCCTTGAACAGTCACTAGTTTGACTCAAAAATTGAATCTCAATTCATTTGGAGTTTAATTATGATACTATCGATTTAATTAAAACATAACATGAACATTCTGTTGACAATATCATTATCACCATGACTTGCAAATTTACTGAGATGTATTTGTGATTTTAGTTTATTTTACAGTGTATTGACATGAAAAGCCTCCCACTCCTGCAGCAGGTCTTTCTGCAGCTCTCTGCCCAGTCATCCTGTGTTGCAGCCAACAGTGTAATGTCACCCAGTGCAGGTCCGGTATATTCTCCACTCTGATATCTAATTCGTCTCCATGACCGCCTCACATATTAGTCACGGACTGCTTTTCTTTAGAGAGATGGTTTTACTACCTCTACCATAACCTCATGTAGCCTGAACCATTCGCTCGTCATTAGGTCACAGGGCAGCGCTGCTCTGAAGGCAGATGTACCATAGACACTTTGCTGATTTCTAACAACAGGCTTGAAATTCTGCTCTGGACTTTTGAATGACATTTTTATGAATGAATCTTCTGCCTTATCTGGCCCTTTTAGGTGCGGATTATACTAATGGTGAATCTCGTGAACATCTGTTCAGGTTTATGCCTGTCTAGAATGAGCGATTGAGACAAGTTTGTGCATCTGATAGAGTTTGGTGAATATGACTTGGAACATTCACTACGTTAAATCAGATAGTTTTAGGACAAGAATGCTGAAATGTTCTTGCGTGAGGCCCATGACAACATCAACTGCGAATTGATTCAGGTAAACAGCACAGACAGGACTCCACCACGTTAGTAACACAAGATAATTTGGCTTAGTTGGTTTTATGAGTATCTGCCTTTTGCATTAAAGTCATCAAAAATTCACTCAGTTGGTATGATTATGAAAATGCCATTTTATTAATGTCATTGGTTAACATCAGACAGTCATTACGATATGACAGAACTAAGAAATCCTGTAATTTTTCATGAATTCAGTCTTTGTGCAATAACATTGCTCATGAAATTCTAATCTCCAAATCTTACATCTTGCTCTGTGGGAGGTATACTAACAGCTCATGCACTGAATCTCACAGCTGGCTGACTGTGCATGTGTTGGGTGAAAACACTGCAGCATGTGTGGTGATGTTAACCAGTGGTGTCATGCAAACATCAGTTCCAGACATTCGCAACAATATGAGCCACAGACTGAAATTTAAACTTGAGATTAAATAAGTATATTATAATATATTAAAAGTGCCTATTTTCTTAAAGTTTACCCAGTAAGCTGTACATTTGCTTTAATGTACTGGGTACCTTGCTATCAATAACCTACCATTTTAAAGGCATTTTCTCGTTCCTGTGTCATTATGATATTGAGCCGGTCCAGTTTGTGATGCTGATCTATGACCATTGTCATATCATGAAACAGCAACTTGTTGTGGTGTTACATGTGCTTCAGATTCTGATTTTATTGAAAGTGTTTTAGTCCACTGTGGATATCTTATGGTTGAAAGGTTTGTGGTTTTGAGCATCTTAATGTTTTTCATGGTTCATTTTAGACATGTATTTTTATTCTTATTCTTTATTTTGGTAACTTTGAGTTAATGGATCCACAAATTCCACTGGTTTTTGTCACAGAACTGTTATTTGTGTGCTTTATGTGCATTTAGACTATTTTGACACTGCTGATAGTGAATCTTTCTTTCCACAATCTCATGTGATGAACACTGGAGGCAGTGTGAAGAAAGAAAGAGACGACTGAGGGAGGAATCACAGTGCAGAGATTCT